CCCCCCCCCCCCCTGAAGGGATGTTGGTCCATTACAGGATATTAAAAAATGTAGCTTGCATAGCAAGTGTTCCCATGCTCTTTGCATGAAAATTGGGGCAAGAGCAAAAAATTGATGGAAAGGGAGGTGGTAGGGTAAGTGAGGTTCCTTTGCGTGGCCAAAATACGGAAAAAGCTCTTTGTTCATACATTGTATGGAAATGCTTGCTAGGCAGGCTAGTAAAAATGACGCCTCACTTCTTGGCTCTTCCAACTTTGTCTGGTGTTATCTAAATTAGAGTTCCTGTACAGTACATTATTGGTGAATGGGATTTCAGGCATTTAACCTTGAAAATGATGCCGCCTGTCTTCATTCCAAGACCAGAGACTGAGGTATGTAAGGAAAAAGGTTGGAAAATTTATATTTACAGTCAACTCCTGATAACTTAAACCCTTGCTAACTGGAATCTTGTGCTAACTCAAACCGAAATCGATTTCCCCTGGGTTTCAGTCATACATTTACTGTTATTTTACGTTTGATAACTCGAACCTCCTCCTAACTTTGAAGCAATTTTTGTTTCCCTTCAGGTCATTTTCTATATAATTTTACCCTTGATAACTCGAACCATGTCTGTCAATAGATGACAAGTCAAAACAAACAGTTTACTGTAGTCCAAAACATTAAATTTATTTTGAAGCAGCCATGTGAACTTTTTCCTTTCTTTTATATTACACAAAACATGTCCGTTCGGTTCAGGTTCCGCTGGTTTTCACAAAGTGTTGCACAAATAGAAGAACATTAAACATCGTTTTTTCCTTATTTCCAGTCATTTGTTCTCAACTCCCGACAACTTGAACCTTTTTCAATTTCCCTTGAGTTATCGGGAGTTGACTGTAATGGTGTAGAAAATGTTTAAATAGTATTTGACAATAGTCTTTATGCATGTTGACATCTGACTACCAAATTTTATCATGAACAAATTCCCAACGGAGCACAGATTATGAAAAGAAAACCCTTGTGTAAACAACACAAAGGTGATAGAGGTTTGTTAAAATTTCTTGCAAATGAGGCTTGATGGTGAATTTTTGGCATGTGCCAGTTAGTTTGTTTAAAATAGACTACCAGTGGGTGACTTAGTGATCCTTCCCATTTTTTACATGGTCTTTCCCTCGAGAGGTCAATTGAGTGTCAGTCTAGTGTTGACTAAGTAACAATTGAGATGTTGATAGAGTGTCGATCAAGGGTTGATCAAGGATATCGATTTAAATAGATAGTCAGTGAGATTGCTAGTTTGCCAAAAGGCAAAGTTTCAATCATTGCAACAATGATTTTGTATTTTTTTTTTTCCACACAGGGACTGATAGATCTAGTTGCTAGTCACCATGGCCTTGCTGATGAAGGTGACAAGTTTAATTTCTTGGAAGTAGGATGTGGAAGTGGAGCCATTTGTTTGTCAATACTGTCAGAATATCCTCAGGTAGACTGACACGGGCAAATATACAGTGTATGCTCCCTTTAAGAAGTAGGAATGTTTTCTGTGTCAAGTTACAGAAGCACAAGTAGAAGTTTGGAAGAATCAGAAAATCCAGTGGGGACATGAGGAGCTTGTGTTGCACAAACTTTTAGGCTTCAGATACATTGTAAGGCTCAGTCTTCAACCACAGGTGCTTTTGTGTGCCGTGGAGAGGATTGTGTGTGCACCAAAACACCGACAGCTGGAGCCTGAGCCTAATATGTTGTATGAAGACCGACATGCCAGCCTGGGCTAAGATACAGTCTGCTGATGGACTGACTGACTAATAATTATTACTGACTGGCTAATAATTATTACTGGCTGGCTAATAATTATAACTGACTGAATAAAAATTATTACTGACTGGCTAATAATTATAACTGACAGAATAAAAATTATTACTGACTGGCTAATTAATTATTACTAGCTGGCTAATAATTATTACTGGCTGGCTAATAATTATTACTGACTGGCTAATAATTATTACTGACTGGCTAATAATTATTACTGACTGGCTAATAATTATAACTGACCGAATAAAAATTATTACTGTCTGGCTAAAAATAATTATTACTGACTGGTTAAAGCTTTTATTAATTCTTTTCTTCCCCAGACAACATGTGTAGCTATTGACAAGAACAAAGAAGCTGTTAGTCTCACAAGAGAAAATGTAAACAGGTGTGAGTGAGTAATAGCTGAAAATGACCTTTTTTGCCAACTGCTCCTAGAAGTGTCATCTATGAAAACCCAGTGGGTATAACAGGAAATTAAGACAGCCTGGGGAGTCATCATAATCCTTGTAGCCCATGAACAGGCTCCTGCTGGAAGGGTCTGACTGCTGTTGGAATGACCACGAAGGAACTGGCTGAGAGGGAAGTTGCCAAGGGGGGAATAGGTTGGGGGTTGGGGCATATCTTCCTCTCTCTTCTATCCTCTTTCTTCCCGCTTTCTCAGTCATCCCATCTTCAACTAGAAAGCCTGTTCACAGGCTATGTCCTTGTCTTGTTTGGGTGGAGAATTTGGCTGGTTGATTTTCTTCAGTTAACATGGGAAATTAGTACTTCTCTGGCCCAATATGAAGACAAAATAAGTACTTCTCAAATGTTTGTTCAGCAGAAGTGTGAGTGCTTGTCAAGCTTAACAAGCCTGGTTGTTTTTTGGGTGCTTGTCACTTTTCGTCAAACTTTCACATCAATTATCAGCCTTTGGCATTTTGCAAGCTTCTTGGACTATGGAGGTGATCTTTCGGCTTGTCATGCATCACGCAGTCTTTCCTTGTTGGGAATGAGAGATTGTGTGACAAGCCAAAACAATATGCAGGCCTGGTGAGGATAAAGTGGGACTACTAATGTGTCTTAATATAGAATCTGTTTTCTTTTATTTTTGTTTATCATCAGTTGCAATGTAAGAGACAGGATAACACTTCATCATGCTGACGTTCGTAAGTAACTTCATTTGCGTTTATCAGAGCAGTTTTCTAATTGCTGTTTTTGAGACAAACCTTGCTATGCATAAGCAACACAATGGACCAAGCAGATTTGGAGGCAAAAACATGCAACAAGCTTCAAGCACCGCTTTGGTGTGGGGAAAAAACACAGGTGTCAAACGCAGGAAAAAGTCCAAGTGGCTTTTGATGCAAGAAAATTTGAACAACGATTTCAAGCACGGAAAAACCTGCAAATGTCCTCTGCGCAGAAAAATATCCAATTTGCTTTAGTGCAAGAAAATTTATAAATGGTTGCTAGCACAGAAAATCATGAACCTGCTTGCGTGCAGGGAAACGGGAAACCAGCTTCAAGCGTGCAGGAAAACATGCAAATGGTTTTAGTACGGGAAAATATGAAAACGGCTTCAACTAGCTACAAGGGTGGGAAACATGAAAAGGGCTTTAATGGTGTTAAACATGAAACTAGCCTCAAGCGCAAAAACATGCAAATGGTTTGAAGTTCGGCACATGCTAGGGGAAATGTCAGGTGGACGTGGACCAGAAGGACAAGCCTCTTCGCGTGTATGCACAGGACGCATGTTGCAGGGACGGTCGGCAAGCTGTACAAAGCGGATATTTGTTCATCTCTATGTTGTAGTAGGGACAATAAGCAAAAGCGGTGCACAAAATGTGACATTGAAAATTGAGGTCATGTTGTCCCTGCTTCATGACGTGTGAATTCAAACCAGCTGAATTTCATGCATTATGTTATGAAGACAAAAGTTTGTCCCCACAATAGAACTTTTCCGCAAAAAGGGGCTTGTCACTCAACGAAAACTGTTGCTGCAAAATCTCCCTTCTTCATGTTCCTGCAATGTGTACCCTAGTGTGTGCCAGCCTTAGGGGCGTGTTTAACAGCATCCATACTTCAATAAGTGTAAGGGTTGTACTAGATTTATCAGTTATATTGAAGCTATTCTCATTTCACTCATTTATTATTGTTTTCCTTCTGCACTTTAGGATCTGTGCTGCCATTACTTGGCTCCACAAAGTTTGATGCCGTCATTAGTAATCCTCCATACATTCCTGAACAAGATGTGACTCTCTTGGAGCCTGAAATTTTCAGGTAGATCCGAGTGTGTTGTAGCGATATCTTCGTTTTGTCCCCTATTGTATTAGGATAGTGTGCAGACCAGGTATCCCACTGTAAATGAACAAGTTCAAAAATTCTACGTCTGTACTGAGCCTCTGAGAACCATCACAAAACAGGGCTAAATGAATGAATTTAGTAAGCGGAAAATGCTAAAACGCAAAAAA